CCGTTGGCTAAAAAAAGCTCCACAAGTGTTTGAAGATATAGAACCCCTACAGTTTGATGAGACTTGAGAGTGAGTTTGGCTTATAAACAAGGTAGTGTTTAGTAAAAAAATATAAAGGATACGGATAAGATAGGCTGATGAGCCAAACACATGTTACCAAAGAGCATTGGTTGGATTAAACGTCTTGGCTAGGGTTGGTTAACAATAGTAATAGAAACCTTAGGTCGAACCATTAAACTTAGGGTTCGTTACATCACTTTAGTCCTTAATTTAGAAGATGCCAAGGATGTTAGTAAAAAGTTTATTCCAATAAAGACATCGCAAAATGAATTGAAAGCCTATATCTAAAAATTATCTAACAAGCCTACCCCGACATTAAACAATCTGATTAGGCTGAGTTATCTACAATTATATATGCAATATACATTTGTATTAAATTATAACAATGATATCTAAAAGATGTTGATATATGTGTCACTCAGGGTGAAAGTTGGGTAGTAAACTTGTACTCTCTTATAGTTCATGGAGCAATTAAAGCTATTTAGCTATGACTGAAGGGGTAAAATACTGTGTTCAACACTTCTTAATTCTAATATATGGAGTACCTTTTTGTAAGAATATCAATATGATTGAGATCTTTTGCCATGCTCTCAGCCATTTTGTCCATCTGCCTTCTAGGAAGATCAGATAAAAGAAGGATTCGCTGTCGTCTAGAAACAAGTGCAAGAAGATATAATACATGTGGCACTCTACAAACGTGTTATTGCATGATATATGTGCAAAGTTATTACCTAGCTGTAGCAGTACCTAATCGAACAGCAAATTCGTGATAATTATTTAGCTGTTTTAAGATGAATGCCAAACGACTATTAACTCCACAGACAACAATATGATCGGTTTCCAAAACTTGCATCTGTGCTCCCTCCCTAAGTTTTTGCATGTTATCCTGAAAGGCTTGTCAGGGAAAATACTGTCTAATTTTAAACATCAGGAAAAGTAGCATCTCCCAAGAATTTACCCTGAACTGTTCCGTCATTGTGCTTAGAAGGCGAGAATAGAACAAAATGCCCCATACAGCAAGCACAAAGCCAATCACACGTTCAATCCTTGTTCTTTGCTGCAATAAGTACAAATGCTTTTCAGTAGTGAACTAGTAATACAACTGTAATAGTTAGGTTCTGATCATTTGTTTGCAATCAGAAATTCAGAACTCAAACTTTCACGTAATATAAAGGGTAAAAGCATAAAATGACAATATACCACACCTTCAGATGAGTAGATGATGAACACAGGCATGCCCAAGCTTCCCAAAAGCAATCCTCAAGAGAATGTGCATTGTTCCTGCATTTATCCATAGTAAATATTTAGTTAGAAAAGACATTTGAAAAGTGGTTTTTTAGATTTTAGATAACAAGCTAACTACCAGCTATGTTACTATGAAAAGGGGTTCCATGTAAAACACTTAAGCCAAATAGTTCTTCACGGCTTTACATATACAAATGCATATGAATACAAATTAACACAATACCCATAGCCATGACTGAAAAGATTGGACTAACATTCTATACCTGAACTTAAAAAAGAGGAAACCGCCAATCAGAACAAATAAGAAGCATGAGGCAAGAAGAACAACAAAAAACCTGCATAAATCCAGAGAAAATAATTCATTCATGTTATTCTTGAAAACAGGGAAGAATAACTACATGCCACTGGGGTCTGGGGCACTGAGCATAGGACACACACACATATGTTCAAAATGCACCAGTAATACGTGTACAAGCAAATAAAAAGCTAATAAGTCCTATAAAGTGCACACGCCATAGAAAGATGATGCATGATCACTTTCTAACTTACATGGCAACATTTTTCTCAAGTTGTATGTTGAACAAATATATTAGCCTTGCAAAACTCCATTTGATATCTTTCAGTGAAGGAAAGACCACATCCAACCCAAGCGGTGTTGGTTTGTTCAAGTTATTAGACATACACGCAAAAGGAGAACTCTGTGCACCAAGCGCTTGAACTGTATGGAAGACAAGTTTGTGGAGTGCAGTTGTCTTCATATTTGTGGAAACTAGTGGCATCAATCTACTAGTGACATATGACAATGCAGCTTCTGTTTGTCTTTCTAGTGAACCCTGTGCTTTTGGAACACATTAAAAAGCATAAACACCAAACACTAATGAATAATTGTTACAGCAAAAATTAGATTTTTCCTAGTGGATGACTTACGAGTTAGGCTGCATTCCATTCCGCTTATTTTTCCTAGTTATTATTATTCTTATTAAAGATAAGATCCGATCAGATCCATGCATCAAATCAGATCATATCATATCCGTTCACATCAGATATAATCAAATCAATCCATAAAAATGTTGAAAAATAATGCTATTATATGATTAAATCATGTTAGCACGATTTCTAACACGATTAGCACAAATTGTACAAATGTTAAAATTATTGTAACATAACATTCATATTTTCCAATGATTGGTTATTATCATCGATTGTCTTCTTGTACAACTTTAAAATATTATTGAATTGAATCTTGTGTTTCATAAAACAAATAAATCTAGAACAAAAGTTATTGGGTGTATTATATATTGATGAATTAATTAATAATTATACGAAAGATCATCAAAATGTTAAAAAATAATAATACTATAATAATAGTTTTAACATTAATTTGAATCAAATCAGATTAGATCCATTTAGATTAGATTTAGATGAGATCCAATCAAATTAAATCCATTGAGATCGGAATTAATCACATCAGATGAACAGAATGCAACCTTCACTAAACTAGTTTCAATAGAGAGCACCATTGCCTTGCAAACCTGAGAAATACTACTAAGATGTAATCTACTTGGTGCAGCATTGAGATATCCTAATGTGCTTATAGTCAGCACCCAGTCCAACCTTCGGCATTTAATCTGACAATTGATATTGGTTATCCCTAGTAAAACAAAGTTACAATGACTTAGAAAGAGCATAGAAACTTAGAAGGGCAATAAAGATCTCTCTCTCTCTCTCTCTCTCCCCCATGTAATAACTCGTGAACCTATCAAAACAACGAAGGTTCCACATACATTTACGGAAGAGAATCTAACGTATCTATGAAATAAAGTATATTTTTGCAAAAAAGTACACTTCTTTATATTTAAAAAAACTACATCTTTGCAAGGGTATCAGCAGCAAAACATTCATCGTAAAGTACTACTCTATATACACCAGTGTGCATCGTATGGGCATAGAAATAGTAGCCAATTGTAAATGTTGCATACCCACATTGATTGTGTAACACTCACCACTTTTGTCTATTGATGAGTACGTCCTCCATGAAGCTGGATAAGGGTTGCACAAACAGGGGCATGCCAATGATTTTCTGGAAAAAAGTTATGGTAATCATGATAGAAGAGCACCCATTATCTCTTATCCCCTATCTTTTTCAGTTAGGGTACGTTTGGAATCCTGAAAATACTAGGGAAACAAAGTATGTAGGAAAACATATATGAAAATAAGGAATGAAAACGTGGGAAAATAAAAGATAAGCTTAAAATCAATTAATTTATTTTAGATATTTATTGATGCTCAATGATTTTATTTATAACTTTATATCTATTAAATAACTAGCAATAAGGTTAAACTCATTTAAATTTTAAAAGAACTGATTATATCATGTTTTCCTTTGCATTTTCCAAAAGTTAAACCAAACATAACAAACACACTTTCCAAAGCACTTTCCCACTTTAGCATTTCTAGTGATCCAAATATATCTTTAATATAATAGGAAAGAAATAATTAAAGACATGTCTTAAAAAAATTACAACTCAGACAACACTTGGAAATTGAAATACAGCTAAAACAAATTAACAGCAATGCAATTTCCAGGATTAGCATAGAGCAGAAGATGAAATTTGCTAATCGCGGGATTTTAACAGCAAACTGCTGAAAATACACATAAATTGTATTTGATCATAATGCATAAATATGCAATAAAAATGCATCTATCAAAATCTGTATAGAACTGGCAAGTGACAACCTCAACAAGACAAAGATGTGTCTTTCTTCCACCACTGCACCACACATTTCGCAATTTCTAATTTCTCTAAATCCAATTCAGAACTTATTTGTACAAAAAAAACAACAAATTAACACACCAGGACAGACACATATTTGGTCATCATATGCATGCAATGGTCTTGCATGAAATCTTTGAAGATGAATAAAGAGCAGAATCGGCTAACCTCGTACGAGGGGAAACATGATAGAACCTTGGGATTAGTGGTGTGAGAATCTGTGTCATGGAGGGGCAATTCAACTGAATCATTCCTCTGTTCCACCTTTCCCCCGTCTGTCTCGGAGCAAGGTCAATAAAAAAAGAGAGACAGAAAATCTATTAAGTATTTTAGATCAATATTCAGGTACTCCTTACATGGACAAATGAAGTTTGAGTTTTTTTCCAGTAATTAAGAAAGAAAGAAGAAGATAGATATGGAGTATGTAGTTTGGACATAGAAGAAAAAGGAATAATGGGATAATTATTTTATAAAAGGCTGAATAGAAACTTTATTTTGGATCTCTTTGTCTCAAGTTCTCACTTATTTGAATAGATTCTTGCCTTGCATACCACGATAATTGAGATTTTATAAAATAAAATAAAATACATAGCAATCTAAAAAAATGTTAATGAATATTTAATGTATAACAAAAATTTTATTATACAAACGAGTACATTTTAATTAATGCATGTGATGGATATGTTGGACCCAGGCCTACACTCCATGGTCCTATATCCTCCGCCCACCAGCTTAGCCCGCTTCCTAGACCTCGTAAGGGGTCCAACGCATCAGCAAGTTAGGCTAGATATAAATAATTAATTGGTAGTGTGTGTTAGGTTGTACCCTAACATCACGCCATTATTTGGATTATTATCCTTGGTTAGGCTGGTCCTTTTATCATATCTGTGTGTTCTATCTATACCTTATCATGTCTTAGAGAGGGGGATTCCATCATTCTCCATTACTCATCTCTATAATTTATCTTTCCCTTTCTTTCTACCTCCATGAATTCTACAATTCATCAGTATGTTTGTCTGATAGTTAAATAAGATACCATGTGAATATGTTATGGATGTTAAATCCAGTGCGTCGGGGTGATTGGTGGTGGAGCGATTCCGTCCGAAGTAAGGTGGAAGCTAAGAAGGTGGCGTATTTGAGGTACATGGGCTGCAATGTTGAGGAGGAAAGAGCGGCGTTGCGAGTGGAGTACAAGAAAGCACGTAAAGAAGCTAAGTTAGAGGTAACGAGGGCAAAGAATGCCGCTTTTGAACGCCTTTACAAGGATATTGAGGAGAAAGGCAGTGTTAATCCACTGTGCCGGCTTGCTAAGGTGCGCGAGAGGAAGGCCCGAGATCTAGACCACGTGAGATGCATGAAGGACAGCGATGGTAGAGTGTTAGTTGAGACTGCCAAGGTGGCTAAGCGCTGGGGGGAGTACTTTAGTGAACTCTTAAATGCGGGAGGAGACCAGAGGCTAGTTCTTGATGAGTTGGGACATCCTGGGGCATCTCGTGTGTATTGCCGGCGCATTTGCTTGGAAGAGGTGGTTCAGGCTCTCCGCGTGATGCGTAATGGGAGAGCTGTGGGACCAGATGAGATTCCAGTGGAGTTTTGGAAGCATGCGGGTCGTGATGCGTGGGTTTGGTTAACCAAACTCTTCAATGTTATCCCCCGGACAGCATGGATGCCTGATGAGTGGAGGGAGAGTCTCTTGGTCCCTCTGTTTAAAGGCAAAGGTGACATTCAGAGCTGCGAGAATTACAGAGGCATCAAATTGCTTAGCCACACCATGAAGGTTTGGGAGCGAGTTATCGAGTATAGGGTGCGGAAAGAGGTTTGCATCTCGGAGAACCAGTTTGGTTTCATGCCTGGCAGATCGACTACAAAGGCCATTCATCTCGTGAGGAGGTTAATGGAAGAGTATAGGGCTAGGAAGAAGGACCTTCATATGGTGTTTATTGACCTTGAGAAGGCGTATGATAGGGTGCCAAGGGAGGTCTTATGGAGGTGCCTTGAGGCGAGAGGAGTGCCCATCGTGTACACTCGCGCGATCAAGGATATGTACGATGGGGCTATGACCAAGGTAAGGACTTCCGGGGGCGTCTCAGATTCCTTCTCGGTAGGGATGGGGTTGCACCAAGGGTCTGCTCTTAGCCCTTTTTTGTTCGCCTTGGTGATGGACGTCCTAACTCAAGGTGTTCAAGACGGGGTCCCATGGTGCATGCTTTTCGCGGATGATATTGTGCTTATCGACGACACGCGTGAGGGACTAAACGATAAGTTGGAATTATGGCGCCTTGCCCTTGANCTCTCACCTAGTACCTAAGGTAGACAGGTTTCGTTATCTTGGCTCAGTAATTCAGGCGGAAGGGGAGTTAGATGCGGATGTTGGACATCGGGTTGGAGTGGCTTGGGCCAAATGGCGGTTAGCTTCAGGGGTGTTGTGTGATCCGAAGATTTCGCCTAGAATGAAAGGTAAGTTCTATCGATCCGTAGTCAGACCTGCTATGTTATATGGGGCAGAGTGTTGGGCGGTTAAGAAGACTCATGTGCGTCGTCTGCATGCGGCGGAGATGCGGATGTTACGATGGATGTGCGGGAAGACAAGGTTGGATAGGATTTCGAATGAGGTTATCCGACGTCAAGTAGGTATGGCACCGGTGGAAGACAAGTTGCGGGAAGCGAGGTTGAGGTGGCTTGGCCATGTGAGACGGCGGGATGCTGACGCCCCTGTACGGAGATGCGAGAGGATTACAGTTATTGGGGGAAGTAGGGGAAGGGGTAGACCTAAGAAGAATTGGGAGGAGGTGATAAGACAGGATTTAGGACTTCTCGACCTGACTGAGGATATGGCCCTAGATAGGAACCTTTGGAGAACTAGGATTAGAGTAGCTGGATAGGAGCTCGGTGTTGTAGAAGTTGTTTTGTAGTGTGTTGTATTTGTTGGGAATCTTTTGCTATTGTTTGTACTTGTTGCTTGTACTTGGTGCCTTATCTGTGCTATACTGTGTTCTCTTCCATATTTTTGTGTAGGTGGAGCCGGGGGTCTCTTGGAAACAACCTCCCTACTTCCGAGTAGGGGCAAGGTCTGCGTACACACACCCTCCACAGACCCTACTGTTGTGGGATTCAACTGGGTTGTTGTTGTTGTTGTTGTTAAATCCAGTGCCACTCCGAAACACATAACGACCATGTGCAAAATAAAAAATGTGGCCCTATCGTACTTCATACTTGCAAAACTTAAATCAGCTTCATATAAATTTTAATATTTCTTACAATTTTTATTAGATGCAAAATCAACTCTACATATTTAGAAGCAAACTCATTATTTAAACTATTAATTTCTATTCCTTCTAAACTATCACATTCAATTCATATCAAAGTCAATATGTTATATGTAAGGTTTTCAAGTCTCCTTTTCTTTTTACGTTTTTCATGGCCCCTTACCATTTCTTAGGGTCCATAAGTACAATAATCTTAAAAAATTATGAGTATAAATAAATAAACATGGAGTCAATTAAAAAAAGAGGGAAGAGGGCAAGGCTGGGCTGGGATCCTCTGTCCCCTAATGGTGTCTCAACTCCATGTCCCAATAATTAAAACTTGACACCTAACTCACCCACGGCCCACCCCCTCATTTAGCACTAACTAACCTTAGGGGTAGGATATGGGAGCATATTTACATGGGTGGGGTGGATTAGGTGTCATGTTTTCATTGGTAGGCAGGGAGTTGGGACACCGTTTGGGGACAAAGGATCCCGGCCCGACAAGGCTCTTTTTCTTTTTACGTTTTTCATGGTCCGATACCGGAGTTTTTTAAATTAAAACTAGAGTTAATTCCATAATTGATCCTTTATAATAGGAGGGTTTCCATATTTAGTCCTCTATTATCAAATATTACTCCCGTAGTCCTTCTTTCCATAAATGGTCCTTTTTTTAATCTTCTTCTGTGTTGGTGTTAGTTTAAAGGCCAAAAGTATAATTTGATCTCAACCTTATGTCGAATGACGTATTTTGATATTGGTTAGACGAATAACACAAAATAATGACTATGATTGTGAGCTAGGATTCTGACGAAAGACCACATCTGTAGACTACGGTTGTAGTAGAAAGCGACTGTAATTCACAAACGACGCATCAGGAACATCCTTTGGAATTGTGTATGACAAGAAAGATATAATATCATTGTGAAATTAAACTTTTAGCCTTCAAATTAACACGACAATTTGTGGAAAGATACCCATAAAAGAAGGACCACGGTGGTAATATTTGATAATAGAGGACTAAATACGGAAACTCCCGTGATATAAAGGACCAATTATGGAATTTACTCTTAAAACTAAAAGCACTATTGACTATTGTTATTGATTAGGAATAAACACTTCTCTGTTCATTTGTGAAAAAAACAAGCTAATATTCTAATAACCAATAAGACCATTCATCTAATAATTGTGAACGAGACATTCATTGATTTCATTCAAAAACGAAATTGGAAAATTCGAAAAAATAGAGCATTCAAATCATTCTATAATTCCGAAAAAGAAGAAAAGATTAAAGAAATCAAACCTGAAAGTTGGAGAATCGCAGATTGAAATCTCACACTATGATTTTCTTTTTCTTTTTTTTAGTTTTGGTCTGCTGCAGCGCGCTGGCTTCTCGTTCTCGCTTTTCTCAGCGCCCTTTGGCTTCTCGTTGCTTTTGGTAGAAGTCACATTGAAGTGTTATTCATGCGACTACACAATGTCGGAGACACGTTGTTTTTGTTATGTTCATGCTGCGTTATTCTCGAGTACTCTAGTACGGGTGAAGTTGGCTTTGGATGTGGTCTTTCTTCACCCGAGGTGATTTTCAAGTGGCGGTTTAAAGTTAACCAATTTAGTGGGTGAAGTCAAATTTGTCATTTGCAACTTTTCTCTAGCATATTTATAAAACAACTATTTTGACCCGTCCTAGGGTTCAAACTAAATTTTTTTATTCAAAAATTATTTTTCAATCTAATATGTTTTTATTAAAGAAAATATATTTCTAATATGAATTTTTAATATTGTACACAATAGCATTAAATTAGAATAAATAATATAGCAATTAACATTTTGTAATGAGTTATCAGTTCAGATCGAGAGTTTCTTGATCACTTCATATGAATAATGAGTTATTAGTTCAGATCTAGAGCCTTTTCCCAACTAAAAGAATTTTACCGCATGAACTCTTTCCCCTATGTGATCTAGGATTGACAGTGTTCGCAGATGTCGCCCTCTTCCTCTTCTTCCACAACGCTTGTTCAACTTGTTGCTACCAAACACTTCCCTATTCAATTCACAAAGGCTAAATTCTTGATCTCCCAAGAATGATTCGAATCTGCTCTAGTTGGTCTCGATGTTCTTGGGTATATAGATGGTACTATCAAAGCTCCTGCCCGATTTCTGGATGCAGAGCATAAACAACTTAACCCTGCGTAAACTCTCTGGTATCACCAGGATGCCATTCTTCACACTGTTATCCTTTATAGCTGTTCCGAAGTGGTTCATCCCTTAATTGTGCTAGTAACTACATCAACAAATGATTGGTCTCGGATGATTACTAATCTTGCCTATATGTCACGAGGTTGTGTGATTTTTCTTAAGGCCTGATTGCAAAGAATTTGAGAGGTACCGATTCTATTGATGCTTTCTTTACAGACATGAACAAGATCCCGACTGATCTCGCTCTTGCCTATAGTGTTGTCTCATATGATGTTCATGTGGTCACCATCATGACTCAACTCGGTGAGGATTATACCTCACTATATCAATCATTGCATGAACAGGGTGTGTGTCCTTTGTTGTATCAATTGCTAAACATCCTCCAAGACTGTGAATGTGAACTCAATGCATGTGTGGTGGCCACTGATGGACTTCTTGCCATGACTAACTCAGTGCCAGTCTCGTGGTGGTGATCGTGGTGGAAAATGGGGCCCATTCAATAGCCGCGAAGGTAATAAACGAGGTGGAGACCGCTTGATCTATAGTGGGCAGACCACTAACACTTTTTCAAATTGGTATTATCATTTTTGTGAGTGTCTAGGTCATGATACTCATTTTTGTCAGAAGTTGCAAAAAATTTTGAAGGACAGTAATTGCTCATTTGGTGATAGTTCGTTGTCAACAGTTACGGCTAACATGACTGTTTCTTCTAGGGCACTTCCTCGCCCAATACACAATGGTTGGTGGATATTGGAGTCTCCCATCATGTGGCAGATGATCTCGTTTCTTTGAATAGGTTTATGGAGTATATATGGAGGCTTGGATGAAGTACGTTGGGGGTAACACTAAGGGTTTAACAATTTCTCACACTGGTCGGACGTGTTTACCCACGTTTTCTCAGCGTCTGATCTTATTTTATCTAATGTCTTATGTGTTTAGAGTCTCAAAAATAATATTTTTGTTGTGTCTCAATTATGCCATACTAATAATGTCTTTGTTGAATTTTTCTCAAGTCATTTTGTTGTGAAGGATGTGTGAACGGGGAGAGAGTCCACTACTTTGGGGAGTCAACTACAATAACCTATACACCGTGCCATCTTTTTCAATGTCCAATCCAATGCGCTTAAGATTGTGTGTCAATGCTACTTCTGTAGTTATTTCGTCTTTGGTTGATCTTCATCGTCGACTAAGGCACCCTAATATTAAAATTTCAGGTGTTGTTCTCCGTGGGTGTAACGAATTATTTAAGTTTGAGTTTCTAGTTTTCATTGTTCGTCTTGTCATATCAATAAAAGTCATAATTTGAAATTTTCTTTCAATACTTTGACTAGTAATGCACCACTTGATTTACTTTATACAAATGCATGAAGTACTTCTTAAGTATCGCGAAAAGGATATCATTAATATGTAATCTTTTTTATCATTATACAAAATACATTTGGTGGTATCCTGTAAAATGATTGTCAGATGTGTTTCGTATTTTTCCACAATATAAGCTCCTGGTAGAAAATTACTTTCAACGGTCTATATGGGCCGTTTTTTCTGAAAATATGGGTGATTTTTTAAAGTTTTTTGTTGTGTTCAATGCTCATGGGATCTCACACTTTACTACTCCATATTCACCTGAGCATAATGGTAAGGCTGAACGTTGTCACTGACATATTGTTGAAACATGTTTTTCTCTCCTCCATATGTTTGGTCTACGTATAACCTTCTAGTCTTACGTTTTTCAAACTACTATTTATCTCATTAATCGTCTACCTACTCCGTTACTCTCTAATTGTTCTCCCATTGAAGTTTTTTTGGTAGGTCTCCTAACCATCTCAAGCTTTAACCGTTTGGGTGTTCGTGTTATCCTTGGCTACGACCTTGTCATACTACAAAACGTTTCCCTCGGTTTGCTCCTTGTCTGTTTCTTGGCTACTCTTCATCAATAATGTTGTTGTGGCAAAACCTCTTAATTATTTATTGGAACACAAAGATACAAAATGGAGAGAAGCTAAGGATGCAGAATACATGGCTCTTAAGTGTAACCAAACATGGGAGCTTGTTTCTCGTTCAGGTTGGTGTCCCATCCAATGTACATAGGTCTTTCGTCTGAAACAGAAGCCTGATATGAGCGTGGATAGGTACAAGGCTCGGTTAGTTGCAAAAGGTTTTCATCAGAAATCGGGGCATGACTATTTTGACACCTTTAGTCCCATCACGAAACTAGTCACTATTCGAATTATCCTTACAAATGCTTTGTCTCATAATTGGCTGATTTGGAAACTTGATGCCAACAATGCCTTCTTGAATGAAACGCTACATGTGGAGGTTTACATGGAATATGTTACAATTCTTGTATGGATTAAAACGGAAAGGGAGATGAATGGACCTGGAAAATAAAATTAAAAAAATCAGAATTTATAATTTATTCGGAATAGTACAAAGAACAAAACTGAAAATAGTTATTAGATCTTCAAAAGGCCTTAGTGTACGAGGATGTAGTTAGGCATTGCCTGCAAGGACATTACATACTGCACTGAAGTTGTAAGCCTGGGACATGGACACTGTGAGTAGTGGCGAGGTCACTAGAGAAGCAATGCGGATAATATGGCTAGGACTAAAATGAAAGCGAGGACATTATGGCCTGAGGCAGAATGCAGAAAGGTCGCTGTGAACTGAATCTGCAAAGAGTAAACACCATGAAAGGATAACCGAGTCACTAGAGTTGTCCATAAGGTAGTAGTGCCCGCTTACCGTACTAGAAAAACGTGAGCACTCTCCTCCCAGGATAAAATTGTTGTCGTGTGTGGTGATTGTAAGGACCAAACACACACCAACGAACAATAACAACGTTGGAGCATTGGCGACCATGAAAAAACATTTGAAGAAAGAAAACCAAAAGTTTGGTCTGAAAACTTCATCTCTCTCTCTCTCAATTTCCTTCTTCAAATATGAAAAATAAATCTCAAGAAGTAAAGCCTTCTCCTTGTTTTTTCCTACGCATGCATCAAGAAAAAGAGAGAGTATTATTCTCTTTTAAAAGGCTAGGCAGCACTTTTAATTTCATTTTGTAACCCACCATGCACTGATTTTCATTAGTGAGGCTCATTAGTAGCATGTCATTAGTGATGTGTTAATGATAGTCATTAACACGTCCGTTGCACTACGTTCCGTTTAAAATTTGTCCCAAATAATTGGAGATTAATGACCAATTAACTCCGTTAAAAGAGACTAATTTTAAACAACACTTAAAAATAATAATAGAAGATTGGTTCAATAAAATTGCAAAAATTGTAATTCTTACCATATTCTTTTATTAACACGCTTTATCTAAGAATCAATTTCTCATTCACCTTCTACCATTTTTGGTGCATAAATTATCAAAAATATTTATCTCATGTAAGTGAATATACGTCCATTAATTAACAGTTAAAACCTTTAGTGAACCTATTGATAAATATACTCAAGTTGGTCCATTTAATGCCTATTAAAAATGGCAAAAACTCCAATAGAATAACCATCTATGTATGAAGATACGACTCTTATTGACTACATATTTTAACTTTTTAAGGAATTGTATGGTCTAAAGTAAGCTCTTAGGGCCTGGTATTTTAAGGCATTGTATGGTCTTTGTTTATCTATTCGAGGGACTCTCTTTGTATTTTTTTTCTTGTTTTTGTGAATGACATTGTTCTAACAAGTAATGACTTTTCCTTTTTGCGCTGGTTTGTTGTCCAACTATCTCGTTAGTTTGCCTTAAAAGATTTGGGTAGTGTACATTATTTCTTGGGTGTTGTGGTTCCCCTTGTTGTTGGGGGCGTATTTCTTTTTCAAAGGTAGTATGTGTAAAATATTTTGGTGGAGCATGGCATGGCCACTGCCAATCTAGTCGTGACTCCTCTCACCCTATAATGCCGCTGCAACATCTTAATGGAAAGGCTGGTGTAGATTCCCTCTAGATCCATAAGCTTATTAACTCGATGCAATACTTAGCCATTACCCGCCTGGATCTCTCATTTTTTGTGAAGAAATTGTCTCAATATAAGCATGCTCCTACTATTACCCATTGGAAACATTGGCGGAGCCAGATGTTTGGTGGAGTGGGGTCAAAATAAACTGTAAATAAAAAATATAAAGTGTAAATTAAAAAATTACAAGACGTAGTTTATAAAAGGGTTAAAAAAATGACATAGGGGGAATCGAACTCAGGCTTGTGGAGATGATGCGCATGCCTTCAAGCATTTCTGCTAAGCAATATAATATTCACAGTACTAAATATAAACCTTTTTAATCCAACTGAGTGGGTGCAACTGCACCCATTTGCTCCTATGTGGCTCCGCCACTGATTGGCAAGCAGAAAATAGATTATCTGTTATCTAAAAGGTACTCGTTGCCATGGCTTATTTCTTCATGCTAATGTGCCCATGCAGCTTACACTCAAATCAAGGTGGTATTCATGATGGGGGTGTTAGACAAGGCGTGCAACTCTAGAGGGGGGGGGTGAATAGAGTTGTTGAGAATGTTTACCGATTTTCGTAGGATTAATAATATAAACGTAAGTGCAGCGGAAATAAAATAGAGAAGGCAAAGAACACACCGATGTATACTGGTTCACCACCTCGTGGCTAGTCCAGTTTCCCGAGAGACTCTCTCGAAGCTACCACTACTTCCGTTAAGCTTACAGGTGCTTAACAAACCGTTTACAACTCGAGAACTTGAATCCCACAAGCCTCGACACAACCGCTCGTAGATATGACCTCTACAAGACTTCACAACCAAGACTTAAATCACATAAGCCTTGAACAACAGGAAGAACAAAATTCTTCAACCTCTCAACAATAGCTCTCAAAAGAGTAGAAATGAGAAATGATTAAAGCTCTAATGGATGACAAAACACTCTCTTAAAACACTTAGTTTTCTCTCAAAATAATATAAATTTGAGGAAAGATTGATGGAGGATTAACACCTCAAGAATGGGGAGTATTGGAGTGTTTCTTGTATTTAAAACAGACCAAGGAAGAGTGTTTAAATAGATGAAAAAGAAATAAATCCGTTGGAAGTGGGGAAGGCTGAAGTTGACAGAAAAAAGTCGTTGGGGATCGATCCAAGGGGTGAGGATCGATCACCTGGAGTAATGGATCGAAAATAAGTTTCTGTCAAAACTTCGGGGGATCGATCCAAGGAAAAGGATCGATCCAAAGGAACCAAAAATCCGGTTTGCAAGCCTTCGGCGGATCGATCCAGGGAAATGGATCGATCCAAATCCCTGAGCACAAAACAATATGATCGATCCACAAGGCAGGATCGATCCAATGACGGACAGATCCCAAACACGAGGACCCAAGACATGTGTGCGAGTGGGATGTACAAATTGGAGCTTAATGAATTGTTTTAGACAAGAAAAGATGTCAAGGAGGCTCCTGATAACAAACAATTCACAAGGGTTGAAATGAATTAATTCAAATTCAAAATTTGAATTAATTAAAGAATTTTGGTGAAGAAATTGAGTCCCAAAAAAATATTTTATGTGTCAAACGATGTACACGAAAAAAATTTGAATAAAATATATTTGCTTATCAAAAATATTTTATATTATCAAAATAAATATTTGATAAATGTTTGGCACACCTTTTGTGAATGACTCAATAAAACTATTTTGAACAGTTAAAAAGATTTTTCAACTGACTCCAAAAATAAATATAATTTTTATTTTAACTCTAATAAAAATAATTTTGGAGAGAAGATATTTTTGTCATCCTTACAAAAAATTCCTACGACTCAAATAAATAAAAAGTCTTCGGAAATCTTCTACTCCTCCGAGTCCTCCGTTAGGTGGTTCGAACGCGTCTCGGGCTCCAATAAAATCATGTGCACCTTCTTGAATACTTCAAGGAATGGGACTTCAAGTCTTCGTGTTTGTCGTTGTAGCACTTTGATCTTGACTTGAATAAATTGTGTTTGTCAATTATCAAAACCTGTGAGTCAACACTTAACAACACAGAAAGGGTTGAACTCATGCATTCCAACAGGGGGAAAGTCTACCACACTGTATGTCATATATTAAGCCTCTAATCCTATCTGATGGAAGTCCACGCGTTAAAAGACTGTATCTCGTTCGTCTACTAAGGTAGAGTATCATGCCCTTGCCCATGGTATAGCAAAAACTCTATGTATCTAATACGGATAGTTTATTAGAATATTTCAATTAGCTATATAATAATTTAGTAGTTATTTATTATTTATTAATATTCTATAGATTAGGGTTTTTAGTATGGGGCCCAAGCTCATTAGGTTAATTAGGGTTTCTCGTATCTCTATATATTGTACTCTCGTATTATTATTATGGAATCACTCAATAATCAAGAATTCTCTTAATCTCTCGTCTCTCTTTTCTTGGAGCTAGGAAACGCTCGAAGTTTTCCTTCTCTCTTTGCCCCCCCTTTCTTGGAGCCCGAAGAAGCTCGAAGTTCTTCCCTATCCCGATACGAATTGTACAAGATTCGTATCAATTAGTGCTTTCATTGAGAGTGAACAACAAAAAAACGAATTCAAATCAGAGAGGCTAGGGTTTTACCCTAACTACTTTTCGTTGGCCAAGATCTGCTCCCCGTCCACAAGAAGGTTTGTCAATTTGTTGGTGCTCTCATTGATTCGCAATCACCAAAAAAACAACAAAAAAGCAAAAAAAAAAGGAAGAAAAGCAAATTGTGGAACGTACAACAAAATTGGGGAATCTAGTTTGGCAATTTGATTTTGGGTCGTACACCTCCCATTGCAAACCAAGTGCAGCAGATTGGGGAATGCGCAGCATACAAATTGATTCGCCGACGTTCGGTGCGTGAGTAGATATTTGTTTTTTTTCCTACCACCGATTTTCTTGCTCAGATTTTTGTGGCCGTCCAAATAATTCATTATGTTTGGAGATTATATTTTTAGAGATTCTCTGCCCTCTATTGATACACTCATTGTTGATAATCTTTTCAATTTAATAGAGATCGTTTTACATGAAAAAATTGAGTTTGATGAAGGAGTATGCTTAGTTTATGCTCAACTCGATGAAGTTACCAAGACGCTTCGCTCGGCCGCTAATATTGAGGGTCAATCAACTTATGACTCCAGCTTATCTATGTTTGAGGTGGACATCTCGTGTTCAATACAGGATTTGGTTCGTGATTCCGCAACTGTGTCGAGTCAAATTACTTTGGAGTTGCAAAATTTCAGAACGCATGTGTTGGACGTGCTAAGGAACCTCATCAGTGCTCCGTCTGCACCACCAAGTTTGACCCATACGGTGACTATGCAACACACCGATTCTCTTGACCAGGAATCTGAGGAGGAAATTAATGTTGGTCTTATTCCTGATGTTGTTCTCGTGCTCGTTGCTAATGTTGTTCTTTCAAACGATGTTGATAGAGACGACTCTCATCGCGACCAATATCTTCAGGTGCAAGTTTTCAGAGATGATGTACTTTTTTATGGATGCTCCAAAAAAATGAGATGTCAAGTACTGAAGTTCTTATGCAAGCAACAAGTCTCGTGAATGGCTCTATCTCATATTTCTCCTATCACATTCTAAGAGGCATGTCGGTTGATAATTGGCCGAGAAGTGGATATCGTTTTGGGTTCAGCACCTTCTCTCCCGTCCAAAAGCACGAGTGGGAGCCTCCACCTTGAGGACAAGGTGGTTTTCTAAGGGGGTGAGAGTGTTATGGATAGTAGGGTAGGATATTTAATGGTATTATTATTATTATTATTATTATATTGTAATTTAGGTTTTATTAGGTGAGCGAAATTATAAGCTCCTTCGAGGTTTCTTTAAGGTTCTTTCCCTCGTCGCTTTTATTGAACCGTCAGGTTATGTTTAGGGTTAGCTAGGGTTACTTTGTCTCCTATATATAGAGATGTAACTCCTTTAGAGTGAATCAATCAATAAACAATTCAAAACCCTAATTTCTTCTCCCCTCTAGGTTCGCTGATTCCTTCTTCGCCTCAATTCTTCTTCTTCTTCCTCGTCCCATATTCTCAAGAGCTCGAAGATGCTCTGAGTCTTCCCTATCCAATTGGTGCTTTCATTGAGAGACTCACCAAAAATAAAACCAAAAAAAATTTGTCATCACAGGAATCCGAGATCCAGCGACAAAGCCACAAATTTGTCCCATCGCCGCTGTAGGGGCACGAGATTTGCAGTCGCCGTTGCAACAAGCACAATAGCGTAGCTATTTACGGAAAAAAAGTTGCAGTAGAGATATCATCCAATCGGTTCAGTTGCCGCACAAAGGAAGCCGATTCCATAAAGTTGGCAGATTTGAGGCCGGCATTGTGGTTCAATTTTTAGTGCCAATGGTTGTGGCCACCGAGAATTTTCTCAAGGATTTGATCTTTACATCCAAATTGGTGCAGCCGCCAATTCCTTTGTCAACAGGGCCGCCACTCAATTAGAGAGAGCAATTAAGGAGATCCACTATAATTGTTTGTGGCAGCCGTCGGATCAATTTGCACCGCACTCCAAGAAAAAAATGCAACCCGATTTTTCTTTCCGAATGGAGGCTAAATTCAAGCGGTTAGAGATTTTGATCGTGTGTACCCATGCATTGGACAAACTTATTGCTCTATTAGAGAACGTTCTTTATGGCGAAATTGAGCACGATGACGGAGTGTGCACACTTTACGATCAAATAGATGAACTTATAAAGAATCTTCAATCCTTCCGTTTTATTAGAGGTAAGCCAAATTATGATTCTGACTTACACGCATTTGACATTGAAATCTCTTGCGCGATACAGGATTTGGTCCGTGGGCCCCCAATTTTGCCGAATTTGATTCCTTAGGAGTTACAACACTTTAGAACAGGCATGTTGGGCGCTATAAAAGTTCTCATTGATAGTCCACCTTCTGTGCCAAATCTGGTCTCTACAATAATTGACCAAAATGCTGAAGCACATGATCACGCATCCAAGAAGGAACCAAGCATTGACTCACAAGGTGGAGATGATGTGGACATCCGGCATGAAGCCATAAACAAAGATAATGGGAGGTCCAGCATTGTGGAAAAAAAAGAAAGTGTCGACAAGCGAGATAATACTTTTCAGGAATTTTTTACCTCAGCTGGTGTGGTCATTGCAGAGTATGATATTCTAAAAAGTGTTGACAAAGTGACAGATGGAGATGGTACACAAGCACACTCGCTTATGTTGATTGAAACCATCACGTTGTTTGAGCTTGTCGATGTGGTCAAGACGGAGCACCTGATTTCGCCAAGAGCAACTACATATGTTCTGCGCCCCGCCTCATCTTTCCATCACTTTGCTCCAAGATCCAAGATGGTGAAAGATTCAAAGGGTAGACTACTCCTTTGGTTCAACATTCTTTCTCCGGTCCTAAAGCACGAGTGGGAGCCTCCACCTTGAGGACAAGGTGGATTTTAAGGGGGTGAGAATGATACGGATAGTTTATTAGAATATTTCAATTAGCTATATAATTATTTAGTAGTTATTTATTATTTATTAATATTCTATAGATTATGGTTTTTATTATGGGGCCCAAGCTCAGATCATTAGGTTAATTAGGGTTTCTCGTATCTCTATATATTGTACTCTCGTATTATTATTATGGAATCACTCAATTATCTCAATACTCTACCACACTGTATGTCATATATTAAGCCTCTAATCCTATCTGATGGAATTCCACGCGTCAAAAGACTGTATCTCGTTCGTCTACTAAGGTAGAGTATCATGCCCTTGCCCATGGTATAGCAAAAACTCTATGTATCAAGCATTTGTTGTTTGAGATCGGCGTTCCCTTGGTATGTACTTCAGTGCTTTATTGTGACAACCTCGATGCAACGTTTGTGTGCAACAACCTAGTATCTGACTCTCACATAAAGCATCTTGCGCTAGACTATTGTTTTGTTCGTGATCTTGTGGCCACTGGTCTCCTATGTGTGCGTCATATTCCCTCCTCTCAGAAGCCCGCTGATTTTCTCACTAAGCCTCTTGGTGTTATGCTCTTTTACAAGTTTCGTACCAAGATTGGCATCTCTGACAGATCGTCAATCTAGCAAGGGTGTATTACGGATAAATAAATTAAATTGTACATATCTTGTATAATTAGTAAGGTTATTAATGTTGAGCTTATCTCCTTAACTCCTTAGCTTAAGTATAGGATCGACAGTTTTTTGATGTATTATAAATTCCACTTCGTGTGAATAATGATTTATCAGTTAATATCTTATAGCTAGGTAAAACTCTATTATATATGAATTTGTTTCATTTGTCATTATCAAAAAACTACATGTGTCCAAATCAGTTTTGAACATCTCTCTAAAAAAATCTACTTGGTTTTTTTTTTATCAAAAAGTAAATATGTGATTTAAAAACTTTTCTCTTATCTAAACAAATTCTAACTCAATTTTTACTTTTAAATATTTTAATATGAATTTCATGGAATTTTAAAAGTGTTATGTAAATAGTGAGTTATTGGAATTTGTTTAGATATGAGACAAGGTTTCAAGTCACATATTCACTTCTTGGAAAGAAAATAAATTAAGTATAATTTCCTTAGACATGTAAAAAAGAAAAAAAGGAGTACCTAAATAACAACGAAATATGATAAAAATACCAAAATAGTAGTAAATTTTGGTGACCTTAGGAGGAGTTCACTTTGACCACTCCCATACGCACCCTCCTACACTGCCACCGGAGCCCCATCAATTGCCAATGTTGGCCGATGGTCTACCACCACATTGCCACCACACTGCACCATCACATAACCACTGTTTACATTATTACTAGTATTAACCATGTGCTTCGCACGGGCTCACATATATTCTAAATTTTGACATCTAAAAATAAAATATCATATATTTTAAATTCTTTATTAATGATATATGATGGGTTTGATAAATAATTTCTAACTATTTTAAAGTTTTATACATATGTAATGGCCATCAAATAAAAAATAATGAAAATCATTTTAATTAATAAAAATTAAAATAATAATGTCAAATAAATCAATTAAGTAATGACACATCATTAGAGAATGCATATATGTCATGTGCCATGTGTAATCCTTCAATTAAACTTTCACTTTGTTTAGTTTGCTAAAAAAATATGTAATAAAATAAATAATGTAATAAGACAAGATTAAAATATGTTATAAACTTAATAAAGATGCATGTGTGATAAATTTTGCATATAATAGTTTCTTTTGAGATGATGGATAATTTTAAAAATTATAAGAAACATTTTTTAACTAGTAAATTTTATACAATTTTTTTTAAAATTATAAAATAGTCGTGCATATTTTAAAAAATATGTTAAAACAAAAAAAAATATTTTTAAAATAGTTAGAAAGTGAAAGTTTTATAAAAACGAACAAACATAAGGGTTTTTTATTGTTGGGAAGTGAAGGCTAGAGTTTATAAAATATACGGAGTAATAAAAATAATGATTTAATACAAAATTAATTATGCATGTGTGGAGTGACATGTGTCTTGGGATTTACATGTGGCATGACACGTGTCATCACCACAACTATGTAACTCTCTTTTACACACACACACACACACACATAGAGTTTGGTTCCAGTGAGAAAGAGATCTAATGAAAGAAATAAGAATAAACATAAACCGTCCGATCTAATCAGTTCTCAATCTTATCGCCAGGGCATAGTAGTCTTTACGGCACTTTGTTCAAACGCAAACCATCGTGAGCAATTCTCATCCCTGATTTCTCGCGCACGATCAGATTCACTTTTCCCATTTTCTCTCTATCCCTTCTACAGATATGAATGCCCTTACTTCTCAAACTCTTGCTAACCTCCAATTCCGCCGAATTTGTCATCGTCTTTGCTGCTCGATCTTTTACTATGGTTCCAGGTTTGTGTTTTTTGTGATTATTTTTATTCTAGAATTATGTAAAAATGGCATGTAAATTTTGTTAGTCTCTCGATTTCGTTGGATTCATGGATGCGTTTACATGCTATGTGAAATTACTTATAAATATTTTCGGGGGTTAGAACTCTTCTTAACGGGGTTATTGTTTTCAAAAAAGGTTTTATTGTATGTATTTACGCATTTCATATTTCATGAAACATTGCACCCATATTTCATGAATCATCGCACCATGTCTAAAAAATGTTTTATTTTATTTCTTTACGCATTTCATGCATTTTGTATTGCATCACCACGTCTGCTTAGTGCATTAAATGACCTCCCCCCTCGTCTGATCATGCCTACTGCATCAAAATGACCTCCCCACAGGTGATCATGCTTACTGAATTCAAAATATGCTTCAAAATGCTCTTTGTAATACCTGTAACTATTTTTTGTTGGACTACATTTCGTCTTTTGGTGGTTCTCTTTTTAATTTATTTTTCGTCAATTGCCACCACTCTCATGAAATTACGCTTTCACGTCGTTTCACACCTTCTGTGTTTATTTATTCGTATACATGTCCTCTATTTCTTTTTTTTTGAATCCTGTATTGCATACTTATAATTACATAATGCATTCAATAGACCTTTTATGCGTTGATGGCCAGGGTACAAATCTATGACTCCAAACGAAGTCGCAACACATACGGCCGAAATTATTTCGCCTTCTTCCAACTTATTTATTCCTACCTGCCCCGAAGAGGCCAAGCCCAAAGTTGGAATGGTATTCCAATCCTTAGAGGACGAATTTAATTTTTACAAGCAATATGCTGCATTGGCAGGTTTTGACATTCGTGAAAGCACTAATTTGAAGGTTTCGGGTGTTGTTGTGTGGCGGTACATTGTATGCAACCGCGAGGGTCATAAGCATTTTGCATCAACCTGCAACAAACCCACTCACGACGATGGAGACTTGCCCAAAGCAAAACAGAGGAGACGCATTTCCAATCGTGTTGATTGCAAGACGCGTGTGGCGTTTAGGCTCACGGGTGGTGTAGGCTACTCCATATCTATATTCATTGAAAGTCGTAACCATCCCATGATGTCTCTTCCATCTAGGCCCTTTTTGAAAATCAACAGGAATCTAGAAATTGGCCACCAGAGGTTTATGTTGAATTGTGCAAAGGCTAACATTGGCCGAATGAAGTCCTACCAATTGTTTAAAGAATCAGTTGGTAGCTATAATAATGTGGGTGCCACTGCAGTTGACTTCAAAAATTTCAAACGAGACCTAAAAGCATACATTGCAGGCGCTGATGCTCAAATGCTCATTGACAAACTATTTAGAAAGAAACAAACATGCTCTGCATTCCATTTTGACTATGATGTTGATGAGAGTGACCAGCTAACTAGGGTATTCTGGTGCGATCCTACTGCTAAGAAGAACTACGTAATGTTTGGAGATGTCATTTCATTTGACGCAACCTTCAACACAAATAGGTATATTCTTTTAATGCTTCATGTTATGCCTTCGATGCACTACATAAGACTATTATTTTCAAGTTATAAATGTGTTTTCTGGGGTTGAACTAGTTTGGTGCTGGGTGTGTTTCTTGTGGTCTTTACACCATTTACTGGGGTAGATAATCACCGCAGATGTGTAACCTTTGCAGCTGGTCTGCTGCGCAGAGAAGATGTTCCTCCGCACAGATGGTTGTTCAATCGCTTTCTCGATGCAATGGGTCATGCCCCGCAATGCATAATCACCGACCAAGACGCTTCTAGGGCTATTGCTATTCCAGAGGTTTTCCCAAACACAGTCCATCGTCCAAAGATTACGTCCAAAGTTGACAATGAACTCGCGAAAGATCAGGACTTTTTGACAAGGCTAAACTTTGTAATATGGAGTCATTACCTCGAGCCTGAAGAGTGGGAAAAACAATGGAATGAGGTATTAGTTGACTATGAGCTAGATTCTAATTCATGGTTTTCTAATCTTTTTGCTATTCGTACTAGCTGGATTCCCGCATACTTTAGGGATTTGTTCATGATTGGTTTACTATGCACAACATCACGTTTTGAGAGCGAGAATAGCTTTTTTGGTGATTTCAAAAATACATTCTTCACTCTTGTCGAGTTTTATATGCAATTTGAAAGTGCTATGGACTCCCAACGTCATAAAACTGCAACCTTGGATGCAGATTCAAAAGCATGCGTCCCTGTTTATAAAACGCCGCTTGTAATTGAGAAACATGCAGCTTCCATCTACACTCTGAGCATCTTTTCTACGAAGTACAATCAGAGATATGTGCATCATGATTCTTGTGCAGCGTGCTTCAAGTGGACAAAAAGGAGCATACGTTAACTTATGTTGTGCAGGATTCCCGAGGAATGGTTGTTAATGTTGAACATTCGACCTTAGAAGGCTCTTTCTTCTACACATGCAAAAATTGGCAGCGCATTGGGCTGTTGTGTTGTCACATATTCTTGCTCTTCAAGGTTTTAAAAATTAAACTGATCCCAGAACGTTATATTACGAATAGATGGTGCAAAACACCACTTCTCAAGCCACGGATTGATGTTTCTGGTCTGGACTTTACCTCCGAATCAGCCATTGACGAAAAGAAAGTAATGCTCAACCGCCTATGGTCTAACATTCACTCCTGTGTTGCACTCATTGAAAATAACCCCGAGTTATTATGTGCTTTCTCCAAGGTAATTACTGAACAAAAGGAGGTCATTGAATCTGTCGTTGCCTCCGAGGATGTAGGTACTGAACAAAGAGATCTCTTTGAAAATTATTGTGGTGTTCCCGCTCCAATTCAACAGTGATTAAAGTGCTTCCACCTCAACCCGCGCACAACAAGGGTAGTGGGAAGCGCATCAAGAGTGCTAAAGAGCTCCAGATCGAACAAAGCAAGAAGAACAAACGCTTGTGTCGAACATGCAAAGAGCTGGGCTATCACGACAGTAGAAATTGTCCAATGAATAGTTTGACATAATTTGAGTTTTATCCCACAAACATCTTAGATTTTGTTGTTGAATCTTTTACCGCAAGATGAACTCTTGTGCCCCATATAAGTGCCCCCCTTCATTTTTTTCCATTAATTGTATATTACTCCAATTTTGCTTAGTAATGAAAGAATTTATTTATCAATTCATGCACTGTACGTATCTCCAGTACATTATGAAAAAGGTAGACTTATGTTCCAACACTGCCTCACACACTTCACCTTCTATGAAACACGAAAGAAACGCCCTAATAGTTACTTTTATATAAACTTTGGAGATGGATAAAACAACAGGGGATTATGAATGTTAAAAAACACTATCTATTCCTTCTTCCCATTTTCATCTATTAACCAAACTTGCGTAGAAACTTAAACAATTATCCCAATGTATAACTATCGAGCACTGGTCATTTTTATAAACAATTCTTGCATTGCATGAAAACACGTCCGAACCGCACAAAAACACTATTTACCCTGCAAGAACTTCCCCACCAATCAAAATTCCAGTCCGAAGTACCTTCTTGTTAATCAAAATCACCCTCAAACCCTCGATTTCTAAATCACTACTACTGCACTAATATACGCATACACGTACACCAATGTATGAGTATCGTGCATTAACACTTATTAACATAATCCAATCTCAGTCGGAAATATTATCAAATCACAAATAACGCTAAACAATGACTTTCATAATCATGTCAGGTCTTGCCCAATTACTTATGCAAAAAAAATGTTGACTAAATATCACTGACGTCCCTTGTTCTTAATACTAGAATTATCCTATATATATATATATATATATATATATATATATATATATATATATATATATATAGGATATTATCATTACACTATCATTATTCACAATTTCACACTACCCAAACTCCTCTTTAAGGAATAAACATAGGAAAAATTTCCCAAAATAATCCCAACTTTACCCGGTCTTTCAAAAATAATCCCACCTTTCACTGTGATGCATAATAATCCCAAAATTTTTATTTAAAATTTTTGAATTACTTTCAGCCTCAATCTCTTTTTCTTTTTTAAAGATTATTCTTACCTTAGAAAAAAATAGATATAAAAAATAATGAAAATGAGAAAAATAACTAAAACCATACAAAATTAATCAAATAAATAATGTAATCAATAGAAATTAAACAGAAACTGGTAAGAAATTAAATAAATATATACGGAGTGGTGGGTTTTAACATTTTACACACTATACGGAGTCTTAATGTACTACTTCTTCCTAGAGTATTTGTCCACTTTCATTTTTACACACCATGCAATACACTTCTTTAATCCATTTTATCTTGTAATTTGTATATTAAATAATTATAGAAATTATATATTAATAATCTATATGCTAAGACAAATCAAACAAAATCACACATGACTATATTTAGGCTTACACATTGAAAGAATTTGATGAGTCAAAGTGCTTAAATGAACAGTTCCAAAAGTCAAAAGTGGACGAATATAGCGGGACAGAGGGAGTATTTATTTTTTAAAAGAACAAGCCGTCCGGTAAAGTTGGAATTATTT